GTTTGTCTACTACATTGTGCAGTGTTCGGCTCAGTCCCCGCCCTATCATTCTGTGAACCGGGAATCAATCTAGAGTCTAGATTGGAATCAAATCAGAGATTTTGCCCAAACTGAACTGTCCTGGGAGGTGGGTGATGTCATGTGACAGGCAGAGGGTGGCCACAGCATGAGGGGCTATGGTTTGTCCCTCTGTTGTGAAATCACACACACACACACACACACACACACACACACACACACGCTTTGGCCTGAAAGTGATCTGACTGGTGGTACTGGATGCACTTCTCATCTTGTACCTTTTTGGCTTTTCCAACCATGTATTTATATTTTTTCTCTTTTAATGTTACCTGGGCTGATCTGAACTTACTGTGTCATAATTTACCTCCTTTGACTGAAAGCAGTCTTTCCTGCCCCTCCCTGTGAGGAGGTAAGATGAAGATCCTGGAGGGTCTTCTGTGGGAACAGGCTTCGGAGCCTCAGCTCTGGCCAGGCTGCTGGGTGGGGGTGGCCGAGGTTTCATTGCTGGCTCAGGAAGTGGCCCATGGAACCACAGGAAGATGTCACCGCATTGAGAAAGATCCAGTAAGCACTTCGCTGCAGTTCAGTAATGAGGAAGGAACTTAGCTGGCCGGGGAACCGGTCACTGGAGGGCGGAAGCTGGCCCTGGGGTTCAGTATCCACTCCCTAGCTCCTCCCTCAAAGGACCGTGGCCCCAGTACCGTTCTCATGGAGGCCTGGGAAGGGCCAGGGTACAACAGGATATGTATTTATGGCTTCTGCTGTGTGAGGTGGAGACTGGGAGTGCCAGCCAGCTCCAGCCCCTAGGTCGTCTGGTGGTCATGGAATGGAACAGAGAGCAGTGACCTGGGGAAAGGCACATTTTCCGGGGAGAGCCAACTGTGTGTTGGGCACCCCTGACCCCTGCCACAGACCCCATTTGTCTCCGTTTCACAGATGTGGATACAAAAGCCCGGAGAAGTCAGGCTATTTGCGCGTGGTCTCCCTGCTAGTAAGTGGCAGGGATGGGATTTGAACCCTCGCATGCCTGTATACCAACAGGCCCAGGATTGTAAATGGTGGCAGCAGTGTTTAGAACCAGATGGGGTCTTCTCGGGCCCCCGAGGTGTCCACTGTGCCTTGTGCGCCCAGCATTGATTTGCCGGGGACCGTGGAGACCAGGTGCTCACCTTGTGTGGGGCTCACGGACCAGAGAGCTTTAATAGAAGTCACGCTCGTCACCATGCAGAGCCCTTTGCCCGTCAGGTTGTGTCCCACAGTGTCTCTTCCCTTTAATCCATGTGATTGCAGATGCTGCATAAGTGCTTTCTAGGAAAATAGCGAAACAGCCTGAGAAGTGATTTCCTATTTTCCTCTTACCTTGACTGCTTTGATTTCTTCTTTCACAATGGCCGGAGATTGGCCAACTGAAGCATCTTTGTTAGAAAATCTTTCAGCCTTTGCTTTAGGAGCACATTTGGGGAACAGGTCCTTCCCGAAGCCCGGGGTGTGGGCATGCCCACTCGGCCCGGCACTCTCCTGGTGGGGTGTGTGTGTGTGTGTGTGTGTGTGTGTGTGTGTGTGTGTGTGTGTGGCGTGAATGCCAGACTCTCTCATTTCTCTGCAGGGGGAGGTGTTTCTTGGTCTTCCTCTTAGCCTGTATTTGGAGGGAAAAGTTGGTTTTTATAGGCTTCCTCTTCAACCTTTCCCCTGGGCTTTCTCAGCCAGGTTGACAGGCCAGAAGGGTTAAAATTGAGGCCTTAGCCAATGTTTCTAATTCTCGGCCACAGCAAGCCAGAACTTTGAGTTCCTCCAGGTGGGATCTGTATACAAAAAGACATCTTAGTGGTAGGAAAAGGGTGATGGAGCATTTGCTGCTTCGCTGGTGATGAGCCTACACTAACGGTTCCTAGTCTTCCATCCAGAAGGTGGCGGGTGGGAAAGCTCTCTGTCGGGCACGTGGCGTTTTCCAGGGGTCCCTGTGAAACCTGGGGACCTGCAGCCTCTCCAGGCTGGGCCAGGCTCAGGTGGTCCCAAGGGTGCATTCAGGCCCGTCTGTGTTCACTGTCATGTACGTGGGCACAGGGGGCCCTTTGTGGGGCTGAGCTGCTGTCACTAAGTCGAGAATGTCTCTGCTGGACTCATCCCTCGCAGTGGAGACCGCTGTGTGCAACTCAGCTGATAGTCGGGGCCGGTGGCTGTGAATTCTGCCATCTGCGGAACTGACAGCTGTACATCCGTTGACAAAAACCACAGCATTTAGGGGAATACCCTTTGTCTTTAATTTCCACATTGATGTGGTAAGCTCTTTCTGTATGTGGTGGCTATGCATGATGCGACCAGTGTCAGTATGGCAGACAGGGACATGTACATTTGCATCCGAAGCCAGTCTGGCCTTGCAGATGTGCCGAAAGGCTCACAGGACAAGGGAGGCTCCTTTCTCTAGAAGGTCCCTGTTCAGAGCCCTGTCGTATTCATCCCTGGCCAGACTGAATCAGGCCTTGTGGCGGAGCCGCCAAGTGGCAGCTTCCCCTGCCAGGAGGAGCCAAGATGGGGCTCCTTTTTCAGAGCCCTTTCTCGGGGTGTGGGATGGGATATAGGTCTTCTTTATGTGCCCCCCAATTCCGTGTGGTAGTGAATGAAGGGTGCCGAGTGTGCTGTGTTCGTTATAAACAGAGGGTTCTGTGAAGCGAGCTTCCGAGATTATCGGGAAGGCGGCTGGGGACAGGCAGCCCGAGTGGCCAGGGATCTGTGTGGGAACCACAGTCAGCTGAGAAGAGGCCTCCAGAACCGTTCCCCGAATCCGTGCGGCTTCTTTAGTCTCCAGCAAATCTGGGTGGTGACACCTTTGCTTCTGGAGTACAAGAAAGCTCAGGCAGAGACCTAAGCACTGTCACTGGCGTAGGGGAGGCTTCGCACAAAACCAGCAATAACAAAAAATGTACTTTTGTCTTGGTATGTTGTTAATGAATCCCATTATTAAGGCGGACTTGACATTTTCTTACCATCTAGCTGTATTTTTAAAACAAATACTCTGGGAAAGGTAAATGTGATATAACTAGGCTGGGATTCAACTTGACCAACTGACCGACCTTCCTTCCTTCTTTCTCTTTCTTTCTTTCTTTCCTATTTTTTATTTTATTTTATTTTATTTTATTTCTTCCTTTCTTTTTTCTCTTTTTCTTCCTTTTTCTTTTTCTTTCTTCTCCTTCCTTCCTTCCTCCCTTCGATCTTTGTCTTGTTCGAGTAGATGTGAGGCAGTTGGTTGCTGGCTTTTTTTTCCCCTAGTCTTTTGAGATGACAGTAAATCACAGCATGACACAGGACTGTTCCAAATGAACTCTTAACAGCTGTGTGTTTTGTGTGTTTGTCAAAAAAATTGTGTGACAGAGCATTGCCTTTTAGTCTCTCCTGCCCTGCCCCGCCCTCGGCCTCTTGCAGCTTTGCCTGGTTCTTCTGTTACCCTAACTATATCTAGTCCTCTTACCATGTTTTGTTCACGGTAGCCAGAGCCCAGCCAACTAGAAATCTCATCTTTCAGGAATCATTCCTGACCTTATTTACTTTCTCCCAAAGAGGCAATCCTAAGAAGCAAGTTCAGATTGGAGTTTTAGGCGGGAACAGCATTTGCGTTGGTGAGGCTTGATGGTTGTTGGGTTTGCTGAAATGGACATAATGAGAGAAGGAAGAAAACTGATACACAGTTAGAGCATTTTCGAGCAACTGCCCATCCACCATGAAACTGAATTCTCCATCTGTTTGTCTGTCCATCCATCTGTGCATGCTTCCATGCGTCTGTCTATCCAGTGGGTATTTGCCATCCACTCTGCCAAACTTTGAGGATTGATGTGATGGTGAGAAGATGGGCGTGGACCCTCCTCAAGGAGCGTACCTTCTGGCACGATCTACCAAAGTGCAGGATAGGGGGCAGTGCTATGGCGGGGTGGGGTTGCTGACCCAGCCCCCCGCGAGGAGGGCAGTCAAGCAGGACCAGGGCAGGGGAGCTGAGCTCTGAGAACCGAGGAGGTTGGCTGGGTGAGCTGAGGGAATGGCTTTCCGGGGAGGCCCAGAGGGAGGATGGAGTGGGGAACCCCATCGAAGGCAGTGGGGCCTGGCTTTGAGAATCTCAGAAAGCTGTGGACCCTCTTCCGGGGTGGAGGCAGAGGTGGCCCCATGCTCCCAAAGTTTTATGTCCGGTTTCTGGAGACACCCACACTCTCTGATACGCAGAACATCCCGATGGCCTTTGTAAGTGCCCGCGTTTTCCGTCTGGGGAGGCCCAGCCCTGCGTTAAGTGTGAATGCGTAGAGGCCTTTCCTGGAGTTTTGTTTTATCAGCCAGGAGTCCACGTCTCATCCCATCGGTAAAACTGTCTTTCCAGGAGCTGCTTACAAGTGCTGGTACTAGCTAACTGCTTACAGCAAAAAAAAAAAGTTTTTCCCAAGTCAATGCACAGTTTTACGTAGAAAACGAAAATTTTGGGGGTTGCTGCAGAACCATTTGGGCTTCGTTTTCTGTGATCTTTACCACCATGAGATACAAAGTGAGATTCTTAAATGCTGGCGGGTGTCCCTAGTGAAGTTTTTGGTCCATAGATGCCCTGTGCTTGTGTGAGTGACGCTCTTTGATCCAGCTGTTCAGGGAGCAATACTTTTGATTTTGTAAAAAAAAATACATACATATATTAGTTTCTCTCTTTGAAGCAGTGCCGCTCTGAAGCGAAGACGGAGGTTCTAATCCTCGCGAGGCTGGGCCTGTGGCCTTGCCCCCGAAGGCCTCTTGCCTTGATTGTGGCCGGCCACGTGGCTTATGTCCCTGAGGACCCACGTTTGGCGTTACTGATTTTAACCTGGACATGTTCGCAGGCCTCTCCTGTACGGCGCCCACGTTGTCAGGCTTTGTGGGTGTGAGATGGGGACGAGGTGTGGTCTGACCGGGTAACCGTGAGCGTGAGCCTGTCCTGTGCATGCGGTGACTCTGCCTCCCCCCCCCCCCCCCCGCAGCCACTTCCCCGAGGGTGTCCTCCGAGCTGGAGCAGGCCCGGCCGCAGACGAGCGGAGAGGAAGAGCTACAGCTTCAGTTGGCACTTGCCATGAGCCGAGAAGTAGCTGAGCAGGTTGGTGCCAGGCAGGTGTGATTGCTCGCTGGGGGCTGGGGACGGGGGGGGGGGGCGTGGGTCACAGGGGGGACGGTGACACTGGCCTCAGTGTTTCCGATGTGTTTCTCGAGATGGGACTTGGCATTGCCACAGCAGTGTTCTTGCCACCCACTGCCCCCCCCACCTGGTCAGGGAGGGGGTCCTACACAGTTCCATTTAGGGAAGCTTTTGGTGGGCCAGTGGGTGAACTGGTCAGAGTGCCCCCCAGAAACACTTTTGTTGACACAGCCGCGTGTCATGGTCCCTTCGAACGAGCCTGGGTGTCCACAGCCCCCTCCGTGCAAGGCGTGTGGGCTCAGCCCCGGGGGAAGGCAGTTTGTTAAGGCGGCTCAGGAGTATCTGCTGAAAAACAAGGCTAGGAGGAAAAGCTGCAGGTAATGAGAGCCTTTATTATGTTTCAGTGACGGAAGTGTAGTTTTAATTTGTTTTCAGTTCCTGTTTTTCTCTACTTATCACGCATTACTTTAACATGGACCAGGAGGGAAAGGCGTGTTGGAAATGACCTTTCAAAGCTGTGTCCCTTTGGTCCTGGCGATCAGGTCTGTTCCCGCTGACCTTGGGTTAGGGAGTGTAGATGGAGTCCGCGAGCACAAGGCGCTCTGTCCCCTAGAAGTGATGTGCAGAGACAGAGATTAGGGGTATAGTTCAACAGAAGTGCAAAGGCGATTTGTGTCACTGTAACTGGAGACCTCCTAAAGCTCGACCGCGGTGGACAGCTTCAGTTTCAGCTCCCCTGTTCACAGTGGGAGAAGCACAGCGATTAGATCCGTCCCTGTGGGTGCCTGGCTCTGTCACGGACAGCCTGGGGAGAAGGGGCAAGGATGCAGGGGCAGAGGGCAGTTGGAGCCCGTTTCCGCTCATAACTCATCTCTGTGATTTATCATATTTATAATAAATAAAATACAAGGAACTTATTTCTATTTTGTGATGCTGTAAACGCTAGGACAGCCCAGTCTCCTGCATGTGGTGACTGTGCCTTAAAATAAATAAAAATTAGATACAGGTGACCCTTGAACAACCTGAGTTTTGGGCTGTGCGGCTCCACTTAAGTGTGGGTTCTTGTCAATAAAAACGGTGCTGTAAATCCATTGCCCTTTTCTTAATTTATTAATAACATTTTCTTCTCTCTAGCTTACTCTATTGTAAGAACACAGCATAATACACAGAATATGCCTTAAGCGATTTACTTAGGGTCCAGTCAGCAGTTGGCTTTTAGTCATTAAATTTTTGAGGAGTCAAATTTATATGTGGATTGTGGGGGGGCTTGGTGCCCTTAACGCGCGTGTTGTTGGAGGGTCAACTGTATAGTGAATCGTTTCTGTTTGAAATCCTAGACACAAACACACAGTGATCGGTGATTTTCACCCTCTCCCTGATTCCTTTCTGGGCTCTCAGGCTTTTGTATTTTAGAAGGAGACGTGTTGCTTCTATAGTTAGAATTATAAAGCCATTTTCATTTTAAGGTAAAAGCATTTTAGATTAAGTGTTCCCTTTCCCCAGCTTGGCAGTGCCTATGCCTCCCCCCCATCTCCCCGGTGGGACCCCAAAACCAGGGAACCCACACAAGGTAGCGGGGTGGGGCAGACGTGAGCCCTCTGGGCTACACTCGCAGGACAGAAGAATAACTATTTTACAGGTTGTTTTCCCATCTTCCTTTGCAATAATGCGTACTCTGATTTGCGTGTCCTGTTCCTGGCGCGTTGCTTTGTTCTGCACAGTGATGTCATTACAGTCCCATTGTCCTTCAGGAAGAACGCCTCAGGCGGGGTGACGACCTCAGATTACAGATGGCCCTAGAAGAAAGCCGAAGAGACACGGTTAAGGTTCCAAAAAAGAAGGAGGTAAGCGCCTCACCGGGGAAGGTTAGCTTTAGGACCGCTCCCACACCATGGTTGCCGAGTGTCCAAGCCTAACCCGCAGAGCACGGCGCCTTCTCCGCCTTCTCGTATACTCCTTTGTGATGAGCACGAGTGAGGGGAGGACCTGATTGAAAACACCCCCACCTGTGCCCTTACTCCCGAGGCTCTCCCGAGACCAGCCTGAGAAAAGATGGGCACGGGTGAGGGGCCTCTGGACTAGGGCCTCAGTTTCCTCCCCTGTAAACGAGCACGGTGGTAGCCATGCGGTCAGGTGACTGTTCCATGAGCCAAGTGTCCCGTGCTTTGGGACAGATTCCTGGCACGGGGTGAGGCTCAGTAGTGCTGGGCTTCGCTGCTGTCATCAGCCTTACCCTGCGCCAGGCTCCCAGCCTGGGGCCCGAGGTGACCAGGACATGGTTCTGCTCCCAGCAAGCTCTTCCGGTCACAAGATAGGCCCCCCCTCCCCTCACAGGGCCCGGGGTTCTGGTGGTCTCCCATGTCACGGTGCCACAGGATCCCTGACTGCAGCTCTGGTGGCTGTGGGAGCAGGAGGGCCGGGCAGGGCAGGCCCCGGGATTGGGGGCCCTGGATGATGGCTGCCAGCTAGGTGGGTGGGGACAGCATTCTGGAGGGACGCTGCAGCCCCGGGCAAAGCCTGTGTTACCCTAGAAAGCCCTGGGGGCTGTTTGCAGGTGGGTGGGGCATTGGGCCCGAAGCAAACAGCTCCATGTGGGTGGAGCCTGGGCCAAACAGCTCCATGTGGGTGGAGCCTGGGCCGGAGTGGGAAGTGGTTAGTGGGGTGGTGGGCCGGGTGGGGTCGGAGGTGGGACGACATGGGGCCGCTCAGTTTCCTCTTGGCCCCGTCCAGAGGGCTTCTTGTCCCAAGAGGCGCGGACGGTATTTATGGCTAACAGCTAACTCGTGGATATTTGCTCTAACTGTAGCAAAGTAAAACCTGTCCCCTTCTCTTTGTCTCAAAAGCATGGCTCCCACCCACAGCAGACCACTCTGTTGGATTTAATGGACGCCCTCCCCAGCTCAGGCCCTGCTGCCCAGAAAGCAGAGCCCTGGGGCCGGTCAGCCTCAGCTAACCAGACAAACCCTTGGGGCGGGCCGGCGGCCCCAGCCAGCACTTCAGACCCCTGGCCACCGTTCGGTAAATACCCGCCTCATTTGTCTCCCGTGCCTGCCTGCTGGATAGGGCCGAGCTTCCTGCTCTCTCACCTGGTGGAGGTGGGAGTGGGGCAGGTCTTTGGTGGTGGGTGCCCAGGATTACCCAGTCCCCGGATATAACGTCCAGTCGGGTCCTCCTGAGGACTGTGGTACGGTGCTTTCCTGTTTTGAATGGTTTTCTGCTTTGGTAGAGGGAAAGCTGACTTCCTCTCTGCTTCCCACACGCATCAGAAATGCCTTGTCCCTCCTCTGGGACATGTGTCCAGTCTCTTGGCCTCAGAATTGTACCCAGCACCCCAGGTTAAGAAACCGTAATACACAGCATGAAACCTCTCAATCAAGTTGCTGTAATTAGGCGTACCTGGAAATTAGGATGTGCGTACTATGATTGCTGATGAAAGGGTACGTTTGCTGTAATTCTTATTTGTTATTTAAAGCAACAGTAAGTCCGTTTACTAGGTTAAGTGGATATTTTAAAGTTTAATGCCAAACGTAAGAGAATCTGTGGGAGGAGATTTGCAGCATGAGTGTGGGTAGAAATCTTGGGCACAGGGGTTTCCTGATTGCTGGACACAGGGCTTGGCCTGCGGGCTTGGTGATGGCTTCCAACCCAGCCTGCTGCTCTGGGAGGCTCCCTCTGGGTGCTCTGAGCCCTGCCAGCCACGGCTGATCTGTCTGGGAACTTGTAGTTTATATTTTATGGCAGCTTGCCTGTATCTCTTTGGGGTCTCTGTTTCCCCAAACTGGAACCATATTTTGTATTCAGCTCGGTTCCCTGGATGTTTGCCGAAGTGTACCAAATGCCAGGCTCTGTCCTGCTATCCAGGGACTCCGACACAAACAGGTAATGGTCCTGCCTTCAAGGTCCTGGGCAGATGTGGGCAAGATGGGGATACTAGCATCCTGGACGGGGCTTATTAGTTCAGGAGCCTGGTGGGCATGAGGCAGGCGTCTCGGAGCAGTCTGCAAAGAAGAGCAGGAGGTGACCAGGCCAAGAAGAGGCAAGGGTGTTCCCAGCAGAAGGCTGGCCTTGTGAGAGCCTGGGGGCAGGCAGTGGTTTGGTGGGTGCGGAGACAGGCCGTGGGGAGCAGGGACGTGGGGTCAGGGCCCTGCCCACTCAGGGCTTGGCAGCTGTGTCCAGAAGGCCATGTCAGCCCCAGATGTCCTTTGGTGATGTGGTTGGCGTTGGGGACACGGGCAGATCCCCAGACTCCCTTTGGCAGGAGCCCTCTGGGCCTTGGGGCAAACTGCAGGCCAAATGGCGTACAGGTCTCCCTCACTGAAAGCCAGAGTCCCATGGCAGCCAGGAGCTTGGCGGTTCACGTGGTCCGTGGCCTCAGGGAGCCTGTGGGCTAAAGTCTTGCTGAGCATACATGGGGATAGCGAAGGCAGTTCTGGAAATGCCCACCTGGGCCCCTTCCAGACAGTGGCTTTTGAGTTTTGTGTTAAGTCTGAAAAATAGTTGCTCTATAATGTGATGACCACATGACATTGAGTTGTGGGTAGGATATTCTTCAGGAAAGACTCTCAAGCCCTTTCAAAGTTGTCATCATGGGTCATGATGCAGACGGGACGTTTTTCTAGTGGCCAGAAAAGAAAGCAGTCACCCTAGAGCCAGGTGAGTTTAAGATTATGCTGAGTCGGTGACTGATGGGAGGTGGTTGGGGTGGGGCCTGGGGGGAGGTGGGAGGGAGACTGACTTTCACTGTCTACCTTTTTTAACTGTTCGACTTAACTTTACTAGGGGTGTGCATTACCTGGTCAGGAGAGACCAGATTTATCAGTTTTCAGTGAACCAGGTTGCTCCTCCCTTCCTTTGGCTGGTGGACAGTGCTGTGCCCCGGAGCTGGTCTTGATGGAGCCAAACTTTAACCTCAAGGGGTGCTGGGGAGTCTCCTGGTGGGTGAAGCGGGGCCACCTCCAGCTGTTGGGGTTTTCACACACCTGCACGCAGCGGAAACCAGGAGCCAGCCGGAGACAGGACAGAGCCAAGGAGAGGTAGCCGGAGCCCAGTGACAGCTAACCATCACACCCCACGCGACGGCAGACATGTTCAGTAGTTCGTAGCCACTCACGGTGTCGTGCACCCCTCACTATTAATCCCAGGACGTTTCTGTCAGCCCGGGGAGAAACCCCGTTCCCACTGAGCAGTCACTCCTTGTTACCGCTCCCTCCAACCCCTGGCACTCAACGGTCTACGACACTCTGTCTCTGGATCTGCCTGTATCTGGCTGTTTCAGATACGTAATGACAACTGAGCCACCCAGGTGCCCCTCCCATTTTTTTTTTTTTAAGACTTTATTTATTTGACAGAGAGAGAGGGAACACAAACAGGGGGAGCAGGAGAGGGAGAAGCAGGCTTCCCGCCGAGCAGGGAGCCCGATGCGGGGCTCGATCTCAGGACCCTGGGATCATGACTGAGCCGAAGGGGGACGCTTAACAACTGAGCCACCCAGGTGCCCCTGAATCCAGTTTTTTAAAGAGGAGATTGAAACTTAAATTTCTGAAATCTATTTTTAAATGTTGACCATGATTTTTAAAAAATTGGGAACATTGTTGGGGCTGATGGAATCTATCTACAGGTCACCAGCGTGGTTCGTGGACCGCTAGTTTGCCATCTCTTACCTCTTGCCCAACCCAGGGCCCTCTTCTTGGTTCTGACACACTTGGCATTTTAACCAGCGACTTGGGGAGAAAACGGGGCACCAAAGCCCAGAGAGGCTGCCCATTCCTCTGGGGCCACACAGCAAGTTAGGGGCAGGTTCAGTGCTTATGGCGCCTAATCCTGGAATCGTCATGCTATCTTGGACTGCTGCAGAAACCTTCTGTGGCCAGGCATGTCCCGGAAAAGTCACCTCAGAGTCTAGCATTGAGAGGTAACCAGTGCTAACATGTTAGCTTCTTTGCTTCCTGTATTTTCTGGGCAGTTGTTTGTACATGGTTGAGGTCATGCTGTGTATACAGTTTTGTAAGTAGATAGAGGTACTTCCGTTTGCACTACGTGATGAGCATTAGGGGCCCCAGTGGGACAGTGCTGGGCTGGAGCACTGTCACCCAGCCGCCCATGGCCGTCCCCAGAGGTGGTGGTGCAGGTCTGGCGCGCCGGCTCTCCACAGCTCTGCAGGAGATGGCCTCGCAGCAGCTCCTGGGTGCACGGGAGCCTGGTCACAGTGCCTTCCCTTCCATCTTCGGAGCCCGCCCTGGAGCAAGACTTACCAACTAGTCTCTAGGAAAACCTGCTCGGTCGTGTTTTCTGGGCCACCCCAGTGCCCGGAAACACATTCATCGGTCTGAAAGATGAGAGTGTCTCCGCCCAGGCCCTGGTAGCTGCGCCCTCTGGATGAAAGGAACACTGTTTTTTGAAGGCTGCTGTTTGTAGCCAGCCCTGCCATTTCCAGTTCTTTCCAAGCGGCACTGGGGGCCTTGGGAGGAAGTGCCGAGGGCTGAGAGGGGGGCAGTCGGAGCCCCCCAGGTCAGCGGGGCACTTCCTCCTCTGTTCCAGATGCACAAAGCGGCCACCTGGTAAGAGAGGGGCCCACAGCCTGGGGGTTCAGAAGGCCTTGGCTGGCACGCGCCCGCTCACTGCCCGGGCTGGGACAGGGGCCGGCTTCCGCCCCAGTGGCAGCAGGTGGTGCTGCTGGTTTTTTGGTGACCCCCGCCACTCAGTTCTCTGACCCCACCATGTGACGGCCCCCCTGTGCACATGAATATTCATATGTGAGGCTTCGGGGGAGCCAGGCTGGCGGGTGAGGGGCTCCGGGACACGTGCTCCCTATGAATGGGCCCACAGAGGAGGAGGCCGGAAGCTGCTTGATCTTTCTGCCCTGGGTTCCATCCTCCTTTGCTCTCATTCACTCCTGCTTTCAACAAGCATTTATTTATTGGGTCTGTGGCGTGGCCCCGGGCCCTGTGGAGGCCGTGGAGGACAGAGCACAGAGGGGCCTTGCAGCAAAGCTACTGTCCATTCATGGGGGAGGAAAGCGGAGCGCCGGGCCCCACGGCCTGGCTGTCAGCAGGCATTCGCTGGGGGGGGGGGGGATCTGCCGGGTCCGCCCCCATTGCAGCCCGCTTTCCCTCAGGCCAGCTTAGGTGGGCGGTCAGCACCCGTGGGAGAGTCCACGTAAGCCCACGTTACCTGTCTCCCCCAGGTAGGTTTGAGGAGAGCGGGGTGCCATGGTGTGTAGCCTCCGCTGACTCGTGGCCCCCCATGGAGCAAAATGTCAGCACGGTGGCCTGAACGCGCGTAGGTCCCCAAGCACCACCCGTGGACTGGAAGGCTCACCAAGGCTGAGCTACTTATCCACGGCCGTCTGGAAGACTGGCCAGGGTTTGAACCAAGGGCATCTTTCATCCCACATCCAGAACCCTCTGAGCCGGGACTGTGCTTTGTCCATAAGCGTGGCGCCGCACGGGGGCGGGGGTACTTTCTGGGCCCTTTCAGGCTTTAGGGTTCTTGGCCGGCCTGTGGGTTTTGTTGTTCTGGCGTATTCCAGAAGGGAAGCGGGGCCTGTGGGAAGTAACGGGAAGGGTCAGTAGAGGCTCCCGGACAATGCTGGGGCGCTGTCGCTCAGCAGCCGGGTGCCCTGGGTTGAAGCCCGGGACGATGGTGGCTCAGTGTGGCGCCGGCCCCCGGAGACGGCATGACAGTGCATGCCATATTTACAGCCTTGCGTGCCACAGCGTTCGTGCAGGAAGAGCGCTTCTAGAACGATGGCAGGATTTTGTGTTGACTCTTACTCTTCCATGTGTATCAGTTTGAGGGAAACCTAGTGTGTTTAGACCCCCGTCGTCTGAGAGAGGGTCTGGATGCAGGAGCAAGCCCTGCTTTTGCACACGGCACGGCAGGTGTGTGGTTGCTGAGGGGCTGGCTGGGTTCCCGGGAGGGCCTGATCCTTACTTTTTACCTTGTGTCCTGTGGGCCACCTATAAACTCCTGTGTGCTCTTGAACACGTGGTTCAGATGTCGTGCTTGGGAAGACACAGTCCCCCTGTCCACAGGATTGTCTCACCCGATCCCGTGGTCACCGGCTGCCCGGGACCCCCGTGCTGATTGCAGTAGATATATTCTTTTTTTTTTTTTTTTAAGATTTTATTTATTTGACAGAGAGAGACACAGCGAGAGAGGGATCACAAGCAGGGGGAGTGGGAGAGAGAGAAGCGGGCTTCCCGCCGAGCAGGGAGCCCCGATGTGGGCGGGGCTCGATCCCAGGACCCCGGGATCCTGACCTGAGCCGAAGGCAGACGCTTAACGACTGAGCCACCCAGGTGCCCCTGCTGTAGATACATTCTTGTTTCTCTCTCAGAGGCAGGACTTTTGGGTCTGCTGAATGCTGGCCAGGTGTTGCTCAGATAGAGCACGGTGACTCCAAGGACCACCTGTCTGTGTGAGGCAGGGCTGGTCCCTGCCAGGTGCCCGTGTGTCTGAGCTGGCCCTCCGATGGTGCCCCCCACTTCTGAGAAGACTTGGCCAGGCACGTGAGTGCTGCAGGAGCTCAGTCGCTCCCACACATCCCGGCTGCCCATTCTAGTCACTTGGGGAGCTTCTAAGAACCCAGATGCCCAGGCTCTCCCAGAGTCTGTGTGTGTGAAGGGAGGAGACGGTGTATTTTCCTAATATTCCTGCAGCAATTCCCAGGACAACCACAGCTGAAAACCACTTCTCTGGTGGCCTCTGAATGGCATGGTGAGTGAAGCACTGCCAAATCTAAGGTGTTGGAAAACTCTGTGCAGCGTCAGAGATTAGGGGCGGCTCTTATTTGTGTAGGTTTCTAACGCTTGAATTGGACGTTTACCCAGAATCGTCCAGAAGTGGTCACTGAACTCCACTGTTCAGAGATGCCTCAC